GTCGTGTTGTGTGAACTTATAGAAATAACATCGTCTGAGCTCGAGCGAGGTTGAACTTTTTAGTTTCTTGATCGGCGAAGGCTCTTGGCCTTAAGGGCACTATTTCGAACTTATCGAAGTAACGGCGTCTGAGTTCGAGTGAGGTCAAACTTTTCTATTTCTGTTGATGGCGAAGGCTCTTGGCCTTAAGGGCGCTATTTCGAACTAATCGAAATAACGACGTCTAAGTTAGAGCGAGGTCAAACTTTTCTATTTCTGTTGATGGCGAAGGCTCTTGGCCTTAAGGGCGCTATTTCGAACTTATCGAAATAATGGCCTCTGAGTTCGAGCGAGGTCGAACTTTTCTATTTCTGTTGATGGCGAAGGCTCTTGGCCTTAAGGGCACTATTTCGAACTTATCGAAATAACGACAACTGTCTCACTTTGGATGGCGTGGGAGTGTTTTTCCTACACTCGCGTAGCGTTGCGATGGTTTCAGAATCGAAACACCGGTAGGTAAACGAAACGTCGCTTCGCACGTTCTATCATTATGACACACGTTTCCGAGGAACTGAAACGTTTCACGTCCCATCAGGTTTTAATGGTGGCTCTTGGGTTTCGAGCTCGGGGGATCAGTGTCCTTTATAAATAGGGGAACTTGTTATTTGCTTCCCACACTTCAGCGTTTATTTTAAGGAAATTCCCCTGATATCTCCTTTTCTGGTATCTCGAGCTCTTGCTTACATTCTTGCTTATTGCAATACTCGATCTCTTCACTTCTTCCTGAAAGTTTTTCCCTTTAGGCTTAAAATGGCCGGTGCGTTTTCTCGTGACCATCTTCCTGCTGCCCCTCCGGTAACTGAGAACCCTGTCCATGCCACCGGGGAATTGGACATGGTAGAGGATGAGGAGGTTCCCTCGGTAGATGAGATCCTACCTCGCCCTGGGAGGGACGTGATTGACTTCAGTATCGGTGGTGGAGCGGAACCGGAGAACATTGCTCTCGTTATAAGAGAAAGAGGGATCGTGGATTTGAGGGAGCGATGGGGCATCCCTAGCTTCGTCAAAATGCAGCCTGCGGGGAGTAACGTCCGAGTTCAATACGACCGCCTCGGTTTTTGTATGTTCTACGCCTACCCCTTCATTGTAGGGTATACACTCCCGCTTTCTATGTTAGTGGTGGATTTCTGCCGCTACTATGAGGTGTGTCCTTCTCAACTTTCTCCAGTATTTATACAAGATGTTGCTCATGTTACTCAAATACGTAGAGATTGCCAGTCGTGAGGTTACCCTGGGCCATGTGCTTAGCCTTTTTGCTCCCCAATTGATTTGAGGTATGATGATTCATGCACCTCATCGGGGATCAAAGGGTCTGGTGGTGAAGATGGATGATAAAACCAATCGTCGCTTTTACGAGAATTTTTTCTACGTGTGGACCGAGCACATTGTGGCAGACCCGACTGGGTTCCTTGAGAGATGGAATTTTGCCCATAAGTCTGTGTCTTTGATTAACAGAATGTTCAATTTCTCTTTTTCTCTATCCTCTTTTTTGTTGCAGGTACTGAATTGCCTTGTTATTCTGTAGCCGAGAAGTTGCCTCTGTCGCCTCTTGAAGGGATTCGTGAATGGGTGGAGGTCGTTCTTCCACACATAGTGGGGGTTCGCACCTGGTCGACCTTCCATGAGAGGTTTGGACGTAGACCCCTTACAGGTGAGAGGACGTCCTTATTTATTGTTCTTTATTCATTTTTTGCCTCGCCTCTTATACCTCGTTTGTCGTTGTCAGGGAGGGTGCGGAGAGCCAGGGCCCCTCAATTATCCTTTCGCCAGCCGGCTGTGTCAGCTCGTATTGTCGCGATACTTACCGCTCGTCCTTCGTCGAGGGCAGCTTCGGTCGAATCTGCGGCCTTGGTCACTCCAGTAAGGACTGCCTCTCAGGACGAAGTTCGTCCTACGAATGAGTCACCATCAACTGGGGAGGAGTAAGGGCCGTCGAATAGACGGAGGGTCGAGTTCAAGATGGTGCCTCCGACAATGATCAACCTGGACGAGTCTCCCCCGACAGGCACAAGGAAGGTGTTCTCATGGCATCTTCCGTAGAGGCAGAGCGAGTTGTCGAAGCAGACGCTGATGGCCAGTGCCTAGAATCTCCGGTCACTGCAATGGCTCAGCCAGAAGTTCCAGATGTTACTGTTGATCAGCGCCCTATCGGAGTAGAGAATCAGACCCCCGGTACCACCATAGTGAATTCAGATGTACCCTCTTCGTCCGTGGAGGTCGCACTCTTTCCGCAGCAGAAAGGGAGAAAGGCATGGTGATTGATGAGTATGAGTCCTAGTCATACCTGGACCCTGACGACATCAGAATGTTCGAGGAGGGCCTTACTTATTCGGTGGTTCACGTTGGGGGGTCGGCTCGAGTTCACAGAATTCCTTCCGACGTTAATCTTTTGGCGCAGGGGGATAACTTGGTCCGCAATTTAGCCTGCTGTGCTTGGAAGCGGAGACCGAGTCCTTGCGGAGTATCCCTGATACCGAGTTACGGGATGAGGTGGTCGTTATGGGCTTGAGGGTAGGGTATTTGTGGCTCTTGTTTTGGACTTTTTTCCCTTTGTTTGACAGTATTAGTTTAATCGCCTTTCTGTTTTTCAGACGTATATGGTAGAGGTGGAAAGCATCCGTAGGGCCAACGTTCGGTCGAGGATTTTCTTGCAGATGTTGGAGAAATATCGACGCTACCGCGATAGGTGTCGTGAATTGCATGAACGACTGAAGACGGACCCCCATAACCGGACCCTGGGCGAGGAGTTGGAGAATAGGGATCAAGAGCTGCTGCAAACGATCCGCAGTAAGAGCGAGCTTGAGGAGCAACTCCGCCCCAAGGACGGGGAGCTCGAATTGTGCAGGGGTGTCACCGCAGAATGTGAGTATTTGCAGGGCAAGCTGAGGTCCATGCAGTCGGAGATGGACCAGAACTTGGTTCGGGTCGAGGTGATTAGCTCAAAATGGAGAGGAAAGCTAACCGCGTTGGAGAGCAAGGCCGCTGGCTTGGAACATATTAAGAGGGACTGGCCTGAGGCTTTGGCGAGGGCGGTGGCTTTAGAAGAAACCATTTGTGTGATCCAGTCTGAGCAGGAATCGGAGAGGGAGACAGCAACGCTTATGGAGGCGAGGCTCGAGAAGCGGATTAGCATGATTGATCAGGAGGCTTCGATTCTGGCAGATCGAGTCACGACCCTGGAGGCAGAGAATAAGTGACTGAAGGCTCAAGATGAGTCGTCTCACGCTGCCGTTCCCCGCCAGATTCATGAGCTCTGGGTCTATGCCGAAGCTAAGCATGACATTTATAAGAATTTGTTGGAAGCGGGCACTGGGGTTGTTCATTCGGATCGGATATCCGAAATCCGAACCGATCCATTCAATTTTGAATTTCGGATTGGATCGGATTTCGGATTATGTTTATGAAAATTTCGGATTTCGGATCGGATTTCGGATTGGTATATTTTAATCCAATCCAATCCGAAATTATTAGGACATGTATAAATACTACACTTTAATTTACATCAACCTCCAAGTTATTACCTTTACAATTGCTAGATTTAGCTATATTGGCACCATAGTACTCTCATAATTGCATAAACATGAATTTTTCTTAATGTATTGCCTCTTTTACAAAGAAAATATACATATTAGTTTAACTTTGAGGCATAATAATACGATCCGATATCCGATCCGATCCAAACTTTAAAATTCGATCTGATCCGATATAATTCAGATCGGATTCGGATTACATTTCCTAGAATCCGAAATTCGAAATTCGAATCTGAAATATGCTAAATCCGATCCGATCCGATCTGATCCGTGCACAACCCTAGCGGGCACCGTGACCGAGGCTGCATATAAGGAAGCATGAGCGAAAGCTCGTGAGGCTCGCATCAACTGTGGGTATGACATGGAGACGCCCGAAGCTAATGGGGGCACAGATGGTGATGATGATGACCCTCGTGGGGATGGTGATGATGACGGCGGTGGTGATGCCGAGTGAAAAATATTTGTAGCTTGTTTTCGTTTTCATTTCGTTGGTAGGCTGGTATCTGTTTGCTCCGTTTTTTTATTTCTTCGTTGGCCTTGGCCTATTTTAAGCGGCGATTGTCCGCACTCATGACTTTTCAATAATAAAGAGTTCTTTGTGATTTGCTTTGTATCAGTTTTCGTTGTTAATTATGCAGCCTTGGCGCAAGACGGGAGCTCGTCTGATGAGTCTCGGTCCTTTTCTCTTCTTTTTTTTTTTTTTTTTTTTTGCGAAGGCTCCTGGCACTGAAGGGGGTTATTTCGAATTTACCGAAATAATAGCTCGTCATAATTCGAACGAGGTTGGATCCTTTTTTTGCTTTGATGGCGAAGGCCCTTAGCCTTAAAGGTATTTCGAACTTATCGAAATAACATCTTGTCATGATTCAAACGAGGTCGAATCCAGTTCTTACTTTGATGGCGAAGGCCCTTATCCTTAAGGGTGTTATTTCAAACTTATCAAAATAACAACCCGTCGTGATTCGAACGAGGTCGAATCCAGTTTTTACTTTGATGGCGAAGGCCCTTAGCCCTAAGGGTGTTATTCGAACTTATCGAAATAATAACCCGTCGTGATTCGAACGAGGTCAAATCCAGTTTTTACTTTGATCGCGAAGGCCCTTAGCCTTAAGGGTGTTATTTCGAACTTATCGAAATAATAACCCGTCTGTCACAACCCAAAATCCCACCATATTAGTTGTGATGGCACTTAGTATCTAAGACTAAGTAAGTCGGTTATAATAACAATTCAAGCCATTTTTGTTTTTAAAATAGATAATCGAAACCAACAACAAAAATAAAGATACAACCTCCCAAGACTGGTAGTACTGAGTCACGAACTCTAACTGAATACATGAAATGATCTGAAGGAAATTAAATATACAATACTACTTGAATAATATATGATAGTACGATAAAAGGGAAAGACTCCAAGGGACTACGACGACCAAGCAGCTCTACCTTGAATCCTTGCGCGCTCTCTAACTCTTTCCGAGTCCTATATCTCCAATACCTGTCTCTGTACATAAAAAATGTACAGAAGTGTAGTATGAGTACACTACAGCGGTACCCAGTAAGTATCAAGACTAACCTCGGTGGAGTAGTGACGAGGTACAGTCAAGACACATCTAATAACCTGTGCAATATAGCATACCACAATAATAGGAAACAAATAGCAATGATACCAACAATTATCAACTAGTGATATAAACAACAAGACAACAGGAACACCAAAAATATTGCTCAATAAATAATGAGTACAAGTACAACCATTTAATCAAGTCCTTCAATTACAAATCTTTCATAATCNCAGCCCACCTTCATATTTTTCGTAATACAGGCCTCACCCCACTTTCATATTTCTACGGCACCTCGTGCCCATATTTCTATTACAACTGCACGGACAACTCACATGCCAAAAATATCAATATATAAAAAAATATGCACGACCAATTTACTTTACAAATAGTTTGAGTGAAGAAAATGACATTGCACTTAAATTAAAGCATCGTATAAACTATTGATTTGGATGTAAAACTTATTAATTTAAAACATAATAGTAATTTCTTTTATTTAAAACAACTCAATCATTGAAAATCGCTAAAAACCAAAAATATAAATCTTCAAAGTCTCGTACTAAAAAATCAAAGCGAACACAATGCAACAAGGAGCACAAAACACATAATAATAATAAAAATAATAATAATAATAATAATAATAATAATAATAATAATAATAATAATAATAATAATAATAATAATAATAATAATAATAATAATAATGTCAACTAGTACATCACGGAAGAAGATAAGAATTTACATATTAATGAAACAAAATCACCAAAGACAAGAACATAAATAAAGAAATATCAACATGGCACTATCGAGGTACCGCCTCGTAGTCCTAAATCATAAATAAATTCACAATATCTCATTTTCTTATATCACCGCGGGAGCCTTCACATTTAATTTTAAATAAAACAATTTTCCCCGAAATAGCATCCCGCGTTTTAGCCACCCTTATCACACCGCATGACTTTTAGTAGTTCCCCTACTAGCCACGCGTTTCAAGTTACCCTTATCTCACCGCATGCGTTTCAACACACTGGCCTTATATCACCGCATGCGTATCAATATCACAATATTTCACAAATCGCACCTCAAGTGCCCAAATATCACAACATAATACAACTTGCACCTCAAGTGCCCAATTATCGCAGCATAATACAACTTGCACCTCAAGTGATCACATATCAAAGCATATCACAAATTGCACATCAAGTGCTCAAATATTACAACATATCACAAATTTCACATCCAGTGCTCAAATCTTACAGCATATCACAAATTTCACATCAAGTGCTTAAATATTACAACATATCATAAATTTCACATCCAGTGCTCAAATCCTACAACATATCACAAATTTCACATCAAGTGCTTAAATATTACAACATATCATAAATTTCACATCCAGTGCTCAAATCCTACAACATATCACAAATTTCACGTCAAATGCTCAAATATTACAATATATCACAAATTGCACATCAGGTGCCCAAATATTACAACTTGTCACATGAATCAACAATACATTATTTTTCCACAATATGAAGCCCACGGCTCGGTCATAATGCGCACAAAAATTCTAACAAAATATTTGGGAGTGAAAACTCAACAAAATAATATTTCACAATTTAACACTTCGCCTCAATATGATTTACAGCATTTATAACTCAATATCAATTTCAACAATATGAATTGAAAAGAAATTCATCAAGGGACAACACTTTTTTTTATTCACAACTTCATGAAATAAATAGATTTATTCATCTTATTAACTAAATTTCTCATTTAAATTGTATGTAGATAAAATCAATAATGAAAATTATTTCCATAAAAATAGCAACTCAAACAAACACAGAATTCACATAAAAGTCAAGTAGCAATCGCACCAAATTATCATATAAAAATAATCTAGACAAATAAGGAATGAGACATGACAAATAAGAGATTTAATAAGTCCCAACAATTTTCTGATTTAATACATAAGATTGTCTACGAATTTTAATCGATATAGTTTGCACATATAAACCAAGTATGTACTCGTCACCTCGTGTACATGGTTTTCAATCACACAATTTCCACATAAGACTCAATGCCTAAGGGGAAATTCCCCCCACACAAGGTTAGGCAAGTTACTTACCTCAAATCACGCTATCTCAATCCAATAATTGACATTTTTCCTCGATTATCCAACTCTGAATGGTTCGAATCTAGCCAAAAATAATTCAATACAATCAACACAGATTATTGGAATCAATCCCATGTGAAAATACCAAATTTTCCAAAAAAATCCGAATTAGATCAAAAATCGCCCGTGGGGCCCACGTTTCGAAATCCGACGAAAGTTACAAAATATGAACGCCCATTCAACCACGAGTCAAACCATACCAAAATTACTAAATTCCAACAACAAATCGACCTCAAAATCTTAAATCTAAGATATACAGAATTTCTACCATTTTCAACCCAATTCACTAATTTCATGATAAAAACAATAATAGATTCATGTATTTTAACCAAAATCGAGTTAGAATCACTTACCCCAATCCATATGGTGAAAATCGTCTCAAAAATCGCTTCAATCCGAGCTCCATAGCTCCAAATGTGTTAAAAATGGCTGAAACTCGCATTTTGTAATCTGTCCAGGTAAGTCGCAGGTGTCGAATACGATTTATAAATCACATTGGGTAACTGCGATTTGCCTCTGCCCCAGAACACAGCATTACCCGCCTTCAGTAAATCCATCGTAACTTTTTGTATAAATGTCCAAATTATGAACGGTTTGAAGCTTTAGAAACTAGACTCAAAGACCTTTAATTTGATAAGTTGTGCATCACATAACACCTTATATATATGTATATGTGCTCGTCCAAAGTGTGATCTTGTGCTTGTTCATTTAGAATTTTAGCCTATCTTGAAATTTTCCAACTTGGCTTAGACTTAGGCTTCTCCTTAGACTCCAAATCACTTACAATATACTTCGTACGCTTATTATCATATCCAATTGATATCCATCATATTAATAGTCTGTCTTTGCGCACAAAATAATATAATTAGCGCACATCAACTTTCTTAATAGCTTAAGTACTTCAAAAAAATTCTGAGGTGCTACACCGTCGTGACTCGAACGAGGTCGAATCTAGTTCTTACTTTGATGGCGAAGGCCCTTAGCCTTAAGGGTGTTATTTCGAACTTATCTAAATAACAACCCGTCGTGACTCGAACGAGGTCGAATCCAGTTCTTACATTGATGGCGAAGGCCCTTATCCTTAAGGGTGTTGTTTCGAACTTATCGAAATAACAACCCGTTGTGATTCGAACGAGGTCGAATCCAGTTTTTACTTTGATGGCGAAGGCCCTTAGCCCTAAGGGTGTTGTTTCGAACTTATCGAAATAACAACCCGTTGTGATTCGAACGAGGTCGAATCCAGTTTTTACTTTGATGGCGAAGGCCCTTATCCTTAAGGGTGTTGTTTCGAACTTATTGAAATAACAACCCGTCGTGATTCGAATGAGGTCGAATCCAGTTTTTACTTTGATGGCGAAGGCCCTTAGCCCTAAGGGTGTTGTTTCGAACTTATCGAAATAACAACCTGTCGTGATTCGAACGAGGTCGAATCCAGTTTTTACTTTGATGGCGAAGGCCCTTAGTCTTAAGTGTGTTATTTCAAACTTATCGAAATAATAACCCGTCGTGACTCGAACGAGGCCGAATCCAGTTTTTACTTTGATGGCGAAGGCCCTTAGCCTTAAGGGTGTTATTTCGAACTTATCGAAATAACAACCCGTCGTGATTTGAACGAGGTCGAATCCAGTTTTTACTTTGATGGCGAAGGCATTAGCCTTAAGGGTGTTATTTCGAACTTATCAAAATAACACCGTCTTGACTCGAACGAGGTCGAATCTAGTTCTTACTTTGATGGCGAAGGCCCTTAGCCTTAAGGGTGTTATTTCGAACTTATCGATATAACCACCCGTCGTGATTCGAACAAGGTCGAATCTAGTTTTTACTTTGATGGAGAAGGCCCTTAGCCTTAAGGGTGTTATTTCGAAGTTATCGCAATATCAACCCGTCGTGACTCGAACAAGGTCGAATCCAGTTCTTACTTTGATGGCGAAGTCTCTTAGCCTTAAGGGTGTTATTTTGAACTTATCGAAATAACAACCTGTCGTGACTCGAACGAGGTCGAATCCAATTTTTACTTTGATGGAGAAGGCCCTTAGCCTTAAGGGTGTTATTTCGAACTTATCGAAATAACAACCTGTCGTGACTCGAACGAGGTCGAATCCAATTTTTACTTTGATGGAGAAGGCCCTTAGCCTTAAGGGTGTTATTTCGAACTTATCGAAATAACAACCCGTCGTGACTCGAACGAGGTTGAATCCAGTTTTTACTTTGATGGCGAATACTTTTCGTGGAAGTCCCAGTTTTGCCAGCATTGCTCGCATCAGATGGTTCAACGTCATGGGCATGAGGTGTCAATATTTCGCATAGGCTCGCGTTGCACTTGTGTTGCAGTTTCCCGTTCGATTTTGGCTATTTTTCTCGAAGACGCCGCCGAACGGGAGGGTTTCGGTTATGCCGAAATGATCTCTGGTTCCTTAATCTAGGTGCCCCTGTGTTCGTTCGCTTGCATGGGTTTCGTATATCCGATCTGGCGAACTATAGGGGATGAGGATGAGATGGTCCTTGCCTCTGCCCGGCGGTTTTGAGAGAAGGGGAGAGATTGGGTTGCAGCACCTTTCGCCTTGTCCGAGATGTTCGAAGCTGATAGAGCAGAGAATTCTCGACCTTGCGAATCCGTTTGATTTCTTTTCCTTCAGCGTGCTGCCTACAAACCTGGTGTGAATTGGGTTCTCTTCTTGTGCTTCTTAGCTTCGATCCGGGAAAACTAGGAGTTTTCACTAGGAAATACAACGCCAAATTATTTGACTCAAAAGATTTTTTACTCTTTTTAAGCAAATCAATCAAAGCTGAAGGGGTAAATCGTAGTCAAAATTAATTAATACCGAATCGAAAGATTGAATGGCAATAAATGCATATTAGACGAATAGAACACCAAAAGATCTTTATTAGAACTGAGCACTGCCTTCCCTCTCCGTAGAGAGGGAAGAAGAATTACAATTGCTTTGTCTTTTTCAGGATATAAGGATGGAGCTCGCTCCCTGTTTCTCATGTGAAAAGTCCTCTTTTCTTCTCTTTTTCGGTGGAGTTCTGTTCATCTCTTTGATATGTGAGAGTGCTCGAGGAGAAGCAGACCCCCTTTCGGAATTTTCTTGGGCTTGTATATTTAGTCGAAATCCCTCCTACTTTTGTCGTGACTTGGCGCGACTGGCTCACTGGTCGTGGAGAGGCATTGTTTTCATCATTGTGTTGTGTCTTAAAGGCGGGAGGAGATTAGCTTTCACCGACTTCTTCTATATGATGGTAAGAATAGGGTCGTGGTCATCCCAGTCGAGGCGGTCAGATTTTGACCAGTACAAAACCCAATTATAAAAGAAATCTTACCATTGGCCTGGTAAAAACAGAACAAACAGTGTTATCATGTCCAGACAGAGCATGAATTTGCATTTTGCTACGAATATCCCAAGATAAAAGTCAGAACTGCACCAATGTTATATTTGGAAAGAACAGAAGTAGTAACTACTAAAAGCTTCAGTACTAGGATCAGCTATCACCCAAGATAAAGAGCCTCAGTAATGATACCCGACAGAGAATCACGACCCCCAGTGAACAAGATGTCAATAGTTGGATGAAGAGCCAAGCAATAAACACCACTGAGGTGGCCATGATAGGAGCGGATCACCTGAAAATATATATATATATATATATATAAAAAAGCAAATATGTAACCATTCCAGAGCTGAAACAGAGAGGTTACATTCCAGATCCCTTACACCTTAAATCCGACATTACACCTTGTTTTCTAGCTAGAGGACTCCTCCTCATTTACAATTGACCTTAGTAAGGTAACAAAAAAAAGTGAACAATGCTAGTAGCCCATACAGTTACTAACACTTGAGCTTTCTCCATATAGAAAGAACCTCTAGCAGCTTGTGGTAGTTCTTGGACTGAGAAGAACATTTCAGCAATCCTTGATCCTACATTGTGCCTCCAAATTTAGCCAATGCATCAGTAACATATTCCCCTCCCTAAAACAATGCACTACTTCAATTTGCAGATGTTTAATGATAGACTGCATCTCCATAATATCATCTGCAATCTCCCAAGCATGTTTAAAGATTCCTTTTAACATGTTAACAATGAGCAACGAGTCCATCTCAAGAGTAATATTCCTGATATTATGAAATTGACATCAGGAAATTCCAAACAGTGCTGCTTTGGATTCTGTTACATTGTTAGTGCAGAATTGGATTGGTTTGGTAAAAGCCATAACCATATCTCCAATCCGTTTCTAACAATGCCACCAATACCAGCAGTCTTATGAAGTCATTGCTACTCCCATCGGTATTTACTTTCAGTCTGCTTGATGGTGGAAATTCCCATTTTACAGGCTGAATATGCAGGTTATGATGGAAAGCTTTAACTCCGGAACAAATTTGTGACCATGAGCCACCCCATTCCAACCCCTTAAACTGAATTCTGAGTAGCAGGCGTGTAAAGGACATAACCTAGAATATTATGGTATTCGCAGCAGGCATATTTGCACTGCACCTATCTTTCCATAACTCCCAACAGATGATGGATGGTACACACTGAAGTATGAAAGCATGTTCTTCATTCTTAGGCTTCAACAACCACCATTTCATTAGAGATTGTCTCTGATTTGCAGCATGTGAAATGCCTAGAGCTTGGCCAAAGAAGTGCCATACTCTCTTGGCTTTCCAACTGGAGCTTTCCAGCATGTGAAATTCCCCAAATGCATGCTTGAATCAGTTGATTAGCATGACTAATGATTCTGACTCATCTTCCACATCCAAATTCTCTTCGATCG